TTTCTTTTCAAAGAAAATCTGTAAAAATAGCTTTCAAATTTACAGCTATTATAATTATACACAAAAATTCAGCCATACATCCAGTAGTGTATAAAGCTAAAAGCTTTAAGTTTGGCGAACCCAAAACCAGCCTAATTTTACAGGGGATTATTAAAACTGATTGGACGTTCAAGAAAGTAGAAGTAGTCGTGCACATCCCTAGGCACAAAGGACACTCGGGCTGAACCTACGCAAAAAAACACTCCTTTGCACACTTCTGTGACAGCAGGTCAGTTCAATAGCCTGTCTCCATGATGAAAAGATAACATGTCACAGCCTAGTACCTCCACCATGCAATATTCTCCCATAATGAACACTCCCAAACACGCAGAGACAGGGAGGAGAAAACAAAGTTCCCCAACAGTATCTGAGGTGCTTTCTCTCTCCTCTCGTCACGCATGCTTAACCTTGTGCCGCTGCGTGGACCACACTGTTTGCATATTAATGCGTGGAGATATTAGAGAGGTCTGCTCTCCTGAGAATCAGCAGAGGAGAGAGAGAGAGAGAGAGACGCAAAACCAAAGACAGATACACAAACACTAACATACCAGGCTATATACCCACAGCAGGCAGACAAACTGTGGAACCACAAACTGCATTCTGAAACACACCTGGATGTTTCCAGAAGCTTACAGATTGAAAGACTGCAAAGACAAATCCTGCACGTAACATTTGAGTTAGATGGTATATATCTGGCTGCACAATGAATCAAAATAAAACCTAAATATGGCTTAGGACAATTGTGAAATTGCAAAGGATGTGCTTTAAAGGGGTCATATGATGCGATTTAAATTTTTCCTTTCTCTTTGGAGTGTTACAAGCTCTTGGTGCATAAAGAAGATCTGTAAAGTTGCAAAGACTAAAGTCTCAAACCCAAAGAGATATTCTTTATAAAAGTTAAGAGTCAGCCACGCCTACCTAAAACAGCTCATTCTAACACGCCCCCACATATCTACATCACTATGTGGGAAGATTTGCATAACGCCGCCCAAATGTTCACGCAAAGAAAGAAGGCGTAACTTTTATTCTAGCTGTAGTATTTTTGTTGCGGCCGCCGCCATGTCATGAAGGCACTGTGTGATTCGTTGTGAAAGCGAAACTACTTTGTTTGGCCTTCCAAAAGAGGACGATATATATTTTATATATTTAAAGCGAGTTTTTTGGCCAGTGTAGAGTAGGGCTTGTTGTTTGTCATTTCTCTGATCACAAATGCAGACATGGTTTTATGTTTACGCGGCGCGATGCAACTCAACGCGTAAAAAGACAGTATACGTCATTATAATCCATAATTATGTCCCCACTGGATGCAACGAATGCCTCGTTTATAATGGGTTTTCATATTTTTGAATCATCGCTCCGGCCTGACAGGGCATCATCACAGTATGGTAAGGGGCGTAACATTTCCGTCACACGCTTTTGGTATTTGGCCAATCATAACGCACTGGATAGCTGGCCAATCACAGCACACCTCGGTTTTCAGACCGATGAGCTTTGTAAAAATCGACGCGTTTCAGAAAGGCGGGGCATAGAGGAGAAACAATAATGTACAGTATGTGGAAAATAATGTGTTTTTTTAACCACATAAACACATTTCATTACCCAAATACACAAAATAATGTTCTTTTTAGCAGCATCATATGACCCCTTTAATTGAGCAAACACATGCCCTGCGTGTTTCAGAGTAAAGTGCAGCACTATGTCCTTTTACACACAAGCAGCTCATTATCTGGTGTTTTCAGTGTCTCAGAACACCTCGGTTCGCAGTAAATATGGCTCCACACAAACTTATCTCTCTATGTTTTCCAAATTTTAGTCGTTTATAGCATACATTTGGGAATGCAATACGCATGAACCACTTTCATCTTAAATGTAAGAAGTGCTTACAAAACCTCTCTTTGGTGGCCTAAAAAGAGAAACTAAAAAGTCACATAAAAAACAAAAACAAAAAACAATGTTTAGGCCTAAAATCTTAAAATGAATGAGACAGCCATAAATATTAGCATTGTAATTTTAAAGTTGTACTGTAAAGAAAAACTGTTAAACAGAGTCAGTAAATGAATCATCTAATGAAGATGAAAAGGAGCTCCATGCCGTTAGGTGCTGTCAAAATAAAAGTCCTGCTCCCGACACATTGGCCAAACAGAATAACTCATCGGTTGATGCTTATAATTAAAAAATGGCAGATATTGGCTGACTGATTGGCCAATATGTCGTTTGACCACTAGTACAAATTAAACACTCGTTTTTGCATTTGTGGCCATAACAAACCTCAATAGCAGTCATAGACCAAAAATATTCGCTAGTCTAATTAATGTGCCAATATGTGGCCATTTTGAGATTATCAATTCTAAAATATGCAAACAACTTCGTCAACAGGTAATCAGTTTTCAATTCTGTTTTGCAGATTTTTTTGAGTAAAATAAAAAAATCTAATTTGATCTATTTTCATCTAATTTCATGGAATTGAATTGTGAGTAAATCTGCATAATATTAGACAATAGAAAATGTACTGTCTGTGCCATTAGACTGGATTCAGGTAGTTAGCTATAAACATGACTCATTTAAGTCATTGTTTAACTAACTTTAACTTGCCCAGCAGTATTATCTTCCAACTGTTGATTTGCCATCATAGTACCTGACATGGAACAGAAAACCAATCATAAAGGACGACAATTTGCGCTAATGCTCACTATAGTGCCTACTGCATAAATGAAAACGCAACATCCATGTGGTATATTTCAGGACTAAATGTGTTCATTGGCAAGGTTATGTATGTATGTTTATGGTAATTACCAAACTAAAAACGAAGCCTAACTTCCATCAACAATGGAACAGATTCATTCTGTGCTTTGCACACTTTTCAAGCCGTTGGGACATCAGCTTTGAGTTTTTCATTTTTTTCCCTTTCTCATATCACACAAACCATCCTCCTTGACAGTTAACCACTTGTCCACTTTTCTTTCAAGAAAAGAGATAAAAGGTACTGTGATCTTCTCAAAGCAGTCACCTCTTTAAACCTGCCGGTGCTACAACACCATAGTCTAGCGGTTGTCAAATTCAAACAGCTTAAGTGTTAAAACAGAACTGACTGATTCTGCACTTCCTATCAAATAAAACATTATGTCAAAAGCTTCTTTTGTCACTTAACGACATCACACTTTTATCCTTCTGATGCTGAGATTTGCTTTCCAAAAAGACATTCTATCAGATGATTTAACCAGCTTGTGAGATCTCTGAAAACAATTAACTAATAAATACAGTCTGTCTACTAAATATCGGTTTAATCCTTGGGATACAGGTAAAGCTTTTCATTCACACTGAATATGCAATTAAAAATCACATACAGTACGAGTCAAACTTCCATAAGGATTTCATCTTTTCATTCCCACACTTTTAACCAATGCATAAAATGACGGAACATTCATAAAAAAAAGAACACAGACATGCTATTGTGTTCATTCACAATGATCATATAGAGTTCCCACATTTTTTGACCAATAACTGATGTGATTTTAAGCACAAATAACAATTTCTGGGCAATTAAATATTTTAAATCTGAGCATAACTAAATAAATATATATTTCTAACAAAAGATTACAAGATGTCTCAAGATTTTGTTAATATTCGCAAGCTTTCTAGGCCTGGAAATCATCCTGATTCTAGGATTTCTATGGCTGTGGCAGCCCTGTATATTCAAGTTTTACGCTTGGATTTTAGATCAAGATCCTCTAAGTTTTAGTCAAGACTGGCTAAAACGAATGTCATTATAGGAGCCATGGTGCGGCTGTTAGCGCATGTGCTCTGTCATGCTCATATGAGAGACGTGGGTTTGAGTCCATGCGTCACTTTCCCATTCCTTCCTTCTCTTACTATAATTTTCTCTCTATTCTACACTGTCCCTTTAAATAAAAGTTGCAAAACCCCAAAATTTGAAAGAAAACATTGGAAATTAACAAAAAGTTGCACAATGGTGATTATTTTTTAAATCCTGAAGCATTCCCAACACAAGTTAAGAACCACAAAGAGCAGAAAAATTCATTTAGAAGGAGCGAGAAGCTGTAAGAAAATCTCATAACCAGCAAAACTGCTTTCTCAAGCTCAAATCTAATGCTGGAGAGTTTTCATCGAAACCACAAGTCCACACATGTCCCATAAGACATTGGCCTGAATGAAACTGCAATAATTGCTAATTACTTCAAGACAAGACCTCACTGCAGGAAGACAAAACTGTGTGCGTTCAGACTGACAACAAAGGCAGATATGAGAATAATAATGCAGTTTTTGACCACAGGAAATCAATGGGTGAGGTGACACTTTCTGATTGGCTGACACTTGTCAAATAAGCTCCCCATGTCCATAACATCATCTTCTTAGCAGTGATGATACTCCAAAATCCCCACAATTGACAAGATAAATACACTAATACAACATATTTTAAAATACAAAAGTCCTTTTGGAGGCTCCTACCAAACATTCCTCTCAGAAAGGTTGAAGGTGTGCTAGACATCATTCTAGGATACTCTAAAGTCTAAAATCTCCACATTAATGGCCAAACACACTTTAAGTAAGAAATACTTCCAACATATCACTAAATCCACAATAAATTCATTACAACGTTCTTTTGGAAGCTCCTAAATAAAGATTTCCCCTCCAAAAAACCGTTGTAAGTGTACTGGATATCATTTCAACTCTATTTTTCCCTATTTAGTGCGTTCTTTCACTAAGAAGACATTACCAAACAAACATAAAATAATGTAGAATGATATAAAATAGAGAAAAATGCATCTCCTCAGGTCGACGGACTTCTCGTCGTGCCATCACCATCTTGACCGAGATTCGCGCGCAGCCAAACAAGAAGTCTCAGCTCACGGCGCGCGAGAGAGTATGATTGACGCGCGGAAGCGTGTATGATTGACGTTCCCCGCGCGAAAATTTCCATCGCCCGCAGGTCAGTCATACTCGGAACTTTTCATGCTGAAACGTCAATCATACTCTTTCGCGAGTTATACTTCAGTCGCTCGCGCGAACTGGAACTTTTCACGCCAATCATACTCTCCCGCGAGCGCACGGAACACAGCAACAGCGTTCGTTCCGTTAACAACGGATGGCCCGAAATGCAGCTCACCTGGCTGGCCGAAATTGTCTTTTAAACTTGTAAACGGGTACGTACCGTATTTCCCATACACTTTTATTTTAAAGACAAACAAACTTGTGTACTCACCTTATTCCAATACAAAATTGAGATGTAGAAATCCTTGAAATTATCTATACGGCAACTTCGCATGCATAAATAAATAATTACTGATGCAGAAATGTACTCTTTTTATCGACAGTTCACATATAAAGTTTAGTCTTCTTATCTCTTAACTTATGCGGAGTAATGTCGCGTTAATTAGACGCCAGAAATTCTACCAGTGCGTAACTGACAACAACTTTCTTGCATGAACTACAAGCGCTGTCAGAGACAACACAGCATCCGAGGAACAGAGCGTATCCGCCGCTTGTTAAAAGTCTGGCCGCGCGCTGTCTTCATTATAGAGATTTCCCCCCTCTTAAATAAAACTTACTTTTCCCTCGCTTGGCTGTCGGACGGTACGTTGTTACTCTTGCCTTTGGCGTACATGCTTACAGAGAGCTCCGATTGTCACGCACCTGTCAACCCATCACAGCCTCCCCGGACACAACCCCGTCACCATGGTGACTACAGGAGCGATGGCTCTCATTGGACCGAGCGCCGAGGAGGAACGCCCATTTTGTTAGGTAACTCGCGTGAGTGACAGTTACTCGGCCCCGCCCCAACAGAAACACAACCCCTTTCTTATCTCCAGCGCTCTGTCTGTGGAACACGAACACACACACACACACACACACACACACACCGTCTTACCCGGCACTGAGGGGAATTTGAAACCGTACTGAGAGGGATTTTAAACAACTGGCTGTTCCCCTCACAAGCAATCACACCCTCTACTGTCACTGGCCAAATTTAAAGTGAAATTGCAAATGTGGAGCGGATTCTTCAGTTTCTGCTTGTACTGGTGATTGAAGTTAGATTTTTTTGGGGTCGTGCAGAATTACATATCTCTGCATGAAGTACAGAGATAACTAATGGTTTTGCATCGAATTTGTTTTATCTTCTATAAAGTTGATAAATGGCACTGCAGCAGTTTAGACAGAGAAACATACCTAAATGGATAAATGACTGTGTGGTTCAATCCAAAGTCAAATCTTTACTTCTGTGATTATTTTTATATTATGTTATTTTCTGAAAAACATGCTTTTAATGCAAATAATAATTGATTACTTTTATATTTCCAGACAAATGGATTTTACACAATGTTAAACTAAAGTAGAGCCTTAACTACTTTAACCAAATCAACCAAATTCCGGCTAAATACTTTAAAACAATATAAATGTTTGGTTGACATTTCAAATAAAGGATTTAAATGACACAACATTTTGAATCAAATTGTATATTCTGATGTTTAGGAACTGGAATATTGGCTTAATGTCCTTTTTGCAATCTGGCTGCGTTTAAACAAAGCTGACATAATCGGACCATGCATATCAGAATATTTTTGTGCATGTAAACACAGTAAATGTGACAGTAAACACTGAATCAAAATGGACTATTTACTTACCTATTTATATCCTAATGCACTGTCTTCATCATATTATGGATGATGCGTAGATTGCATGATATTGCAAACATAATAAAATGTTTGTCTTCATAAACTGATCAAAACATAGCACACTACTTCTAAAATGGCTTTCCCACCTGTGTCAGGTAGGCCACACATGTGCTGTGTTCGAAATGCCATACTATCATACTACTCTTACTATTTCTGCAGTATCCAGTATGTATGCTGTGCATAGTATGCACATTTTCTGTATGCATGTAATCCCCGGATGACCTACTATATTCGCCAGAATCTGCTAAATATAACTCAAGTACACTGAAATCAGTACAGAAGCTGTTCGGAATGGCATACTACCATACTATATTGCAGTATGCTGTGTGTATACTGTGAATAGTATGTGAATTTTCTGTATGCATGGAATGCCCGGATTACCTGCTACATTGGCTGAAATTTGATGTATGCATCTGAAGACGCTGCATGGGATACTGTTTCCCAGAACGCAACACGCTCCATGTGACGTTTCATCTTCAAACGCTTGAGTGAACTGGAGGTGGGGAATAGTAATTATAAATGTAACACTTGTATTTGTAGGTATATACTATTTACATTAATTCCGCCCACCAATGCCTGGCTGTGATTAACAGCACTGCAAAAGACACTTGCTTTTCCGAAGTAAAACGTGAGCAGTTTGCTTTTGACGCAGTCGACCCGAGTTTGATCCTGGCTTTTGTCAAACTCATGCTTCTCCTTTTCCCATCACATACCAGATCAGAAAGAAAGAAATTTCATTTCAATAAAAATTAAGTAAATATTTGAAAATACGCCTCAATAATACAGTGTTGTGTATGCTTTAGGTAGGTTTTTGTCCCAATAAAGTGGCATTCATCTAATACAATTTATATATACAGTATATGATAATTTACACTCAATATGTTATTGCATACTGTTTTATAATGTACTACAGTATTGAGGTATAAATATCTGCCACCTAACTACTATTTACACTCCTGTTGCTAAAGAAAATGCTGCTATTTTAGTGTAAACAGAATTGATCATTATTTGCACTTAGTGTAACTAGAATATATCGCTTTTTAATATATCGCCACTTAGTGTAACTACCAAAAATATCAATAAAGACAGCTCAGTGTTGATTTAGTTCTGTCCAATATGTAAAGTTAATCAATTATGAAATGAGTTCAATTGGGCAATATAGCATTGTTTACTAGTATGAAGCCTTATTAACAAGCCTTTGTAAAAAGAACAGTTAGCTCATTTGTTTCTAAGGTAACAACCTTGACAGCTGTGCTGAATTAATGTTCAGTGTTTGTCATGTGACAGCACTTAAGCATACTACTCTGAAACATTTATTGCTTATTGTATACTGTTTCACACACTATTCTTTAAAAAAAAATAGGCAGTATGCACTGTGTAATGGGCAGTAAGCAGTAAGCAAGTATGCCATTTCGAACACATCCTGACTGCCTTTATGAATGGTTCACTGAATCATTGATTCACTCAATTAATTTAAAACGTGGATTTATTAATGAAACACCACTGTGTGTTGATCTGAGACGCACAACAGTTCTCCTAGGGCTTTATTTTCATTGGTGAACTTACTGACAATGTGTCTGGTTAACAGAATACGGAAGTCTGTTGCGCATAACCCCTATATATCGCTTTTTAATATATCGCCACTTGGTGTAACTACCAAAAATATCAATAAAGACAGCTCAGTGTTGATTTAGTTCTGTCCAATATGTAAAGTTAATCAATTATGAAATGAGTTCAATTGGGCAATATAGCATTGTTTACTAGTATGAAGCCTTATTAACAAGCCTTTGTAAAAAGAACAGTTAGCTCATTTGTTTCTAAGGTAACAACCTTGACAGCTGTGCTGAATTAATGTTCAGTGTTTGTCATGTGACAGCACTTAAGCATACTACTCTGAAACATTTATTGCTTATTGTATACTGTTTCACACACTATTCTTTAAAAAAAATAGTAGGCAGTATGCACTGTGTACTGGGCAGTAAGCAAGTATGCCATTTCAAACACAGCCATCCTAATAGTTAATGTTAACCAATAGCTAAATAGCTACTCAGCTATTGGCTGATTTCAGAATAACATACTATCATACTAACATATGGCAGAAACAGTAGTATGCTAGTATGCAGGTCAACCATTGTTTAAGCAAACTACATTGGGTCCTGGTAACACTTTCACCACCCAATCAGTTCTCTTCATGCATTTTTTCCCATGTTTCACTCTGAAATACATTAAAATAATGGAAGTAAAATCTACTATTACTTTTCACTATTTTCAACTATTTTATATATTCTGGTCATGTTACTATTTTCTCGACTAGTTGGTTGGTTAGATCATTCCCTATATGCAAGTTTTAAATTAATTGTTTTAATGTATAAAATTCTATAAAATTATATCCTACATATCTTTCAGATGACAAAAAAAATCTGTAAAATATTGGAAATAATACAAGTAGCCCCCTCTTAAGTCCTAGACCATACTTTTTGTTTTTAATATACTGTTAGCTACTAATATTCAACCTGTTATATTTTAAGCTAATAAGGACTCTGGAAGACCTTTAATGGTCCTTGTTTAATTCTCTGCCGTCTTAGGTCTTACTACTAAAAAGTCTTTATAAATACACTATGGATTGAAATGTAGATTCACTGCATCATTAGATGAGGCAATAAATGAGCATTTAAAAATGCAATGGCTACTAAAAATGCGTCACATCTTTAGTTTGGTAGAAAGTGCGTCGTTGTGGCCGCTCATCTTTTCTCTTTTCGGTTGTGTATATTATTTTGGCGAATGTTTTAACTGCTCTCTGTCCTCTAATGTCTGCGCTGTGCTTTTTTTCCCAAAGTGGGCGGCTTGAAACCGCCTGTGCTGAATAACGTTGGCTGTTCCGTTCTCCCCCTCCGCGCTCAGGATCCCGGAAGTAGCCGAGTGAGATCATGGTAAGACAGAGCGATAGAGCAGTTTGCGCTGGTGTGGATGTTCTTTATGACAGCTCCGAGTCATGCAGCAGCAATGTAACATGTCAGACAGTCGGCGTTTTAGAAATTACAACAAAGTCAAAAAACGTGCAATGCAGTTACCACAGCAACGTTGCTGCTGACTTTATAAATATGTGCTCTCGAGTGCTGCACGGTTGAAGCGCCATGTGAGCTGATGCTCAAACTGTTGTTTCGTCCTTTATGTTAAGACGCCATATAACGCTCTTATGTAACGTCAATATCAGTAAAGGGTGTTCCCTGAAAACATGTTAAACTGACTCGTGATCCTTCAGGCTATAAAGTCTCAGGAGGCTGTCGTCATAGCTGAGAGGTCAATACAATGAAATAATTATATTTGGAAGTTTAATGTGATTTGTGTTATTTTTAGATGTTAAAACACTTCCTTTACAAATTTAATAAACAGAGACATCTGCATTATGCTTACTAAAAAGCATGTTTATAAGTAGATCATTCATAGGTTAAATAGTGGAAATACTATCATTAGTGGCTTCAAGTAGGCTTTTCATTGTTTTGTTTGAGTATCCTGACCAGTCCAACATTGACTCAGCCAATGGTGTTGAGTTTGGGGCGGGACTATCTGTTTTTTGACCAATGGCAGCTGGTGCGTCTATGTGAAAACCTGTGTGAATACAGTGCTTTTTCTGAGGGGGCGTTTACGCTACACCATTTTCAACTAAAAAATGTTGTGCGTTTTGGCTGTTAATTTACAAGACAAACACCATTTTGGGGGTCTGAAAACGCAAACTTTTGAAAACAAAGTGGTTTCAAAGTGGAGCTTTTTGATAATAATATTGTTCATCTCTATATAAACTGCAAAAACGCACATTTGTGATAACGGTGACATCATGCGCATACATGTTTGCGTAGTGTTACTTTCCAAAATGACCGCGAACTACTGGCCTGACATGCACTATTTTGACAACATGTTTGTCTGTACACGAAAAACAAAGAAAAAAACTTTTTCATTTTTAGCACATCGTGTACCCTAAAATTGTTCTGAATTTAATGAAATGCCTTCTTTAAAGGGATAGTTCATTCAAAAATGAAAATTCTGCCATCATTTACTCATCCTGTGCAAGTTTCTTTCTTCTATTCAGCCCAAAAAAGATATTTTGACGAATGTTGGTAACCAAACAGTTGATGATAGCCATTAACATCCATAGAAAGTTTTGGGTGAACTATCTCTTTAAATATGAAGGTGTGTAATATAAATACATTCCTGCACATGCTATATTCACCATGTTGAACTATAACAAACTGACAACAACCATAAAAATAATATTTATTCTTTTATTCTTTATTGTCTCTTGAAAATAACATTGGATGCACAATAATGGTTCTTCACAGTTCGTAATATTTACTAAAACCTTAAATTATAGTCAGCATGAATTTTCTTAATCTATGTTCTAAAATGCATGTTACAGATTATATTGTAGACAATTCAACCATATGTTTAAATAAAAAAAATATATATATATATTTTTTTTTTACTATTATTTCGACCTCATAATGTTTAATCGAAATGCCATAAATGGACCCTTCAGTGAAAATGACAGGCTTCTTTCTGGTCATTTTGCAGGACTTCTCCAATCATTTAGTCCATAATATTAATTCTGTTTATTCATCATAATAATTGGAATACACAATCTTTCTGGCAAGTGAAAAAGTTCTGAAAAAAATCTTGAGTTCATAATTGTGAGTTTATCGAGAATGGCTTCAAATGTGGCTTATCCCATCTGAATTACGATTCATAGTATGTACTAACCATCATTTAAAGAATTGTCCTTCCCCAACATGTCAGAATTGGACTACAGCTAGACACACAGACACTGCTAATCCGTTCAAGTGGAGCACATTTTGTCTATTGCGTCATACGCTGTAATTAATCAAGCCATGTTGCATCCATTTAGTTTGGAGTTGTAGATGCTCACTAAACCGGCTGATCAGTGAAGATGTGAATAAATGGGTTTGTTTGATGTTTCTCATTTCTGCTTGTTCATGCAAAGCAGGTGAAAGAGGCACGAGCAGGAAAGGGCCACTTAGCGAATCAACCGTTTCCTCTTGAGTAATTGAAGCCAGAGACGCTGCTGCGATCCAGCGACCTAAAGTTGTGATGGAATTTGTGTTTCGACGATTCCAAATCTGCATGTGGATTTATTAAGAGAATTTAAAGTCAACAATAGAATTTTCCAAGTTTGCTTTCTTAACACAGATTTCTGGTGCAACTGTGCACGATTAATGTCCATGTTATTCCAATAACCATGCCTTCCTGGTCCAATCAACTCCTGTTGGAAAAAATTGCATGTTGTCTTATCCCATATTCTTACCTGGAAATCACATTACAAAGCAAAATGGTTGAGAATGGTGTTTCAAGTTGACTTTGTTGAGTGTTTGTTTTGGAGCATGAAGTTGAAGTGATCTTCAGTTATTAGCTATTGAAATGTGCTTAATCTTACCCTCAGATGGCAGGTGAGAGAAACCCTGCGTCGTGTTACCTGGATGAAAGGACCTTCCGGCTTTGCTGTCAGCGCTTTCTCCAACACTCTGAGACCATCCAGGATGGCTGGAGCTGGGAGCAGATCAAGGTGAAGTGAATTTTTGAGTAACTCCACAAAGTCTGGGCCTACTTGTTCTCCTTAGAGGATCAGAATGAAAGAAAAAAGTGTGAATCTCACAAAACATGTCAAGAAATTTTTTTTCTTTTGAAGATGAAGAAAATTAAGCCTATTTTTAACTTATTTGGCGTTTTGACATTAATGACGATGATATTCTCTCCCAATGTTCTCACTACTTTTTAGGTTCTCACTGCTGTAATGTTTAAAATAACTGTAATACAACTGTAATATTGTAATACAACTTACAATTACCAGATGCTTGTGTCCAAAGTTAACTCTGAGGAACATAAAAAAGACTTTGTTTAAATGAGTAGTTCATCCAAAAATAAAATAAAAAAATGCTGAAAATTTACTCACCCTCAGGTCATCCAAGATGTAGATGAGTTTGTTTCTTCATCAGAACAGATTTGGAGAAATTTAGCAGTACATCACTTGCTCACCAATGGATCCTCTGCAGTGAATGGGTACCGTCAGAATGAGAGTCCAAACAGCTGATAAAAACATCACAATAATCCACAAGACATCCACACCACTCCAGTCCATCAATTGATGTCTTGTAAAGTTAAAAGCTGAGTGCTTATAAGAAACAAATCCACCATGAAGGTGTTTTAACTTTAAACTGTCGCTTCTGGCCAAAATGTGAGCCCATAATAATAGATAATAACACTTCCTCCAGTGAAAAAGTCCATCCTCTTTTATCATCAAAATCTACTGACATATTTGTTTAGAACTATTCTGAACTGATTTCTCCTATAATCAGTGCTTGAGCTGTGTATATTTCTCTCCTGATTCAGATGAGATGACTTTTTTACTGGAGAAAGCAATATTATGGATAGAAGGCTCATATTTTAGTCCGGAAGCAATGGTTTGAAGTTAAAAACATGTTAGTGGTGGATTTGTTTCTTACAAACATGCAGCTTTCCATTTCCCAAGACATTAATTGATGGACTGGGGTGGTGTGGATTACTTGTGGATTATTGTGATGTTTTTATCAGCTGTTTGGCTCCACCCAATCACTGCAGAGGATCCATTGGTGAGCAAGTGTGATGTAATAATATATTTCACCAAATTGAAACAAACTTGTCTACATATTGGATGACCTGAGGGTGAATACATTTTCTGCAAATTTGCATTTTTGTGTGAACTATTTCTATAACCAAAATATAATGTAGGCCTATATAATTTTTAAAAATAGCTTTTTTTATTGTTTTATAGGTAAAATGTGAATGACATATTCTTGACAGGTTTTGTACTTTGTTCTAGGGCACTGATGAAGGCTTCATGAAGAAGACTGTTCTCATCCCTGTAAAGCCAAGCGTTTTGCACAAACAACATGAGTGTTCCATGCAGGATGAAAACATGGCGACAGATGATATCCAGGTAAGACGAGTATCACTTTTACTATTTACTCATACTTATGGTTAGTGATTTGAGCACTAAGTATTAACCTTTGACGATCAAGTCATCCCACAGCACTTCATTTTACCCATTTTGGTCATAAAAGCATATTGTCTCTGAACCAGGTAGAATGAGCCAGTCCATTTATAAACCCTAACTAAATGGGCCACCAAAAATGAAGATTGACCTAAGTGTTTCCCCACATACTGGATCAATTACCTGAAGGAAACACTTTAACTAAATCCCGCACTTTATAACCGTGCTGGGTTTAGTTTTGGAAAAACTAGCTAATGTTGGCATACGATTTTATGTGACTATTGAGATGTTTATGCTCTTTTGTCCATCAGGGTGTTGCACACTCAATCGTTTAGCTTTGTCTGCACACTATATGCATTCTCCATTTGGGGAAAAAATGGTGGTGTGACACATATTTAAACTTTAAAGAGTATGTACGCTTGATTTTTTTTTAAAACAATCTTTGAAGGTAGTATCAGCAAAATATTTTGATTCGTATACCGGTTTAAATGATCTCCTCCAAAATGGGGGTTGTGCCTTGTGGCTGATTTTTCTTTACCTCCACTCTCAGCCCATTTCATTAGTAAGCCCTTCCGGCTGATTGCATATGACTCAACTTCTTGCATATTTACATTCAGCTCACACAGACTAGGGAAGTCTCGACACCTTCTCCTTTCATGAAGGAGATTATGCCATATTTCAGTGCTATTGGAGAAAGCAATTTTTGTTTTTATTAAGTAACTGATTATATTGCAATCCATCTGGTATTCTGTGGTTAAGGCTAGTCCATTACAATATTTAAGGATATTAACTACATATCTTTATCTATGTACTGTATTTACTCTAGTTTATATATATATATATGTATACCTACGTATCTCATCTGCAAAACTAGCCAACTCTCTTGATCTTGGTCTATACAAGATTATATTATATTATATTATATTATATTAATCTTGGAAGTGTCTGTTGTATATTTTCTGTGCAACAAAACAATTTTACTGTAAAATGTCCCAGTTTATTATAATAATGAGAATTTAGAAAGGAAAATGTGCTTAAATCTCAAGCAAAAAAAAAAAAAATTGTAATTGTTGTAATGCAAAAAATACAAAATATATATAATTTATGAATTATTTATTCATTATGGTAGTATCAGTTGTATATTTTAAATACAAAAAAAAATTACTTGACAGTGAAATGTCCCAATTCATTATGGTAATGAAAATTTAGAAGGGAAAATGTGCATAAATCTCAAGCAAAAAATATTATTGTAACGCAAAAATAAATAGTGTACAGTAGTATATTATATAAATTGTAACGTTAATTCATCAAGGCAGTATTTGTTGTATATTTCAAGTAGAAAAAAACAGCTTAAAATGTGCCTAAATCTCAAGCAAAAAATCCTAATGTGAAAAAAATAGGCTTTGTGTTTATGTAACTCGTTATGCAAATGCCTTATTTTTTCATCGTTTTGCTTTTGAGTTGAAATGTGAGCATATTTTTGTGCAATTTATCAATTGCAGATGAATTACTAATAGACCAAAAGGCCAGTATTGTCTGCAGTGATGCCAACTCAACATCAGCATCTCCTTTGTTCACTCTTGCGTGCAGTCGTGCCACGGCGCACGTCACCTGACATGCCCTGCATAAAAGAACATTTAGAAAACTTGACCTTGGTAAAGACTGTTCGCCAGCAAGCAGCAGCTTGCAGGCTACAAGAAAGCCTCTTTTTTCCCCCCATTGTTGAGGAAAGGAAGAAAAAAAATCCAAAAAGATCTGTGGAAGATTAGAGAAGCCAGGACTGCTTTTTTCTTTTTTGTGGCATCCTGTTTTGAGTGCT